CGAATAGTCAAGGTGGCCCACCAAAGCAATGATCATGCTCCCCTAAGAAACCATATTACAGTTGCATGGGGCTTAATGGATGGTACGATTTAAGAAAATGAAAATTAATAGAAAGCGTAGCCTTTTTCCCCTTCAGGCTTCGCTAGAATAAACTTTCTTAACAATCAAAGACCCTACCCACTTTGGTTTGAACCTACGATGCGATTGTATTGCCATAAGGATGGGTTGAATTATGGCCAAGATTAAATCTCCTTGTTCTAGTGGTCATACTTTCATCAAAAGCATTCATGCAAGATTCATAAGGCATTTCTCGTCCATAGCTTCCAACTATTCGAGATGTAAACAACGACAATCTTGCTGACATAATTCCCAATGGACTTCTGCCTTAAGAGAGGGGAGTTCGAATTCTGATGGCACATCTCTTCCTTCTCATAGAAGAGAGAATGTGGCGTTGACTCTATTGTAATTCAGATTAGTGTGGTTTGCTGACAAAGGTTTTGGTAAATTTTGCATTGCAATCTCTTCCAGTTTTAGAAATTACTTTCTTACATTAGGTGTTTTTGGTCCATGACTTTGAAATCTTCAAAACACAAATAACAATAATCTTGCTAGTATAATTCACAATGTACTACTGCCTTGAGAGAGGAGAGTTCAACTACCAATGGTAACACCATTTCCCACCGATAGATAGAGAATATGGTGTTGTCTTAGTTGCAATTCGAACCATTATGTGGTATGCCTACAAAGCTTTTGGTAACTTCACATTCCATGTGAGTTTTAGAAATTGTTTTCTTTGAGATCTTACACGAGATCTTATTAAATGTCTCAGCGAACCCATTAGTTCTAGGTTGTACATGGACGAATACTTCGAAACTATATGAAACAATCTTGAGACAATTAATAATATGGTTTTTTGAAAGGCGACCTACTATTCGAAATTATGGGTTCCGGTGCACAAAACGTACTTATGATATGTTGACAAATATTCCAGATACTTTCTTCAAAGGAAGCCTCAGTCCGCTTAAAAAAGTAATTAGTGGTGACAATAATGTATGAATGATCGCCACAAGATATCGGGTCATTGGGCCAATGACATCCATTCCCCCATTCAGCAAAGGGCTATGATGTAATATTGGAACAGAGAGGTTCTGACATTTGATTGGATTTGATATATAGTTTGGAATTGAGGAACTATACTTGAGAAAAAAAACAAGCTAGAAATAGTGGAATATGGCTCAAGCCTGAGTACCTGACAAGACACATTTACCCTTCTCCAACTAGAATAGAACTGGAAAGGCCATGGAGGGCCAGTAGTACCAAAGGAAATTTAGTCGATCTTAAAGTTTTGGGCTGGATTGATACATCCTGCATATGTCAGCATGCACCTTGTCCATATCTTATTATGCCTCATCTTAGAGAGAGACATCAAAGGAGAATACCATCATAAGACTGTGTGTAAAGGGTTATATTGAGCAAGTGTATCTGATATATTGCCTCATAAAGGCATTTCTCTCTTTTCAATTAGTTGGAAGTCATCCAAGAAGGATGTACCCCGACAAAGGTTACCACCAGTCACTAATGGTAATTTTTGCACACATCAACCGTTAGACTTAGTGATGTTGAAGATTAGGGAGGAAATCATCCTCGACGATGTGCTAGACATCTGCATTCACTGCTACATCTAGTGGTATAATCCACCTCTCTTGAAATTGGATTTGTATGGGTTGCTTGGTGGGAAGAGTCATAACTATGCTCAATCTAGCCAAGCATCTGCTTGGCTATTGCACCAAGAGGAAATATGCATGAGATTGATCTCATCAAATATGGATAACCTTATTTGTGTATTGCAATAAACCATTAATTATGCAAGTTTGACCTCATATATCATCTTCAACTATTTGATGGCCCGTTGTGAATCCCCCAACATGGCCATGTCCTAAATACACATTTCATAAGCCATTTCGAGGCCGGCAATGAGGCTTCATATTCAACTTCATTATTGGATCACTTATTTTTTTTAGTGTAAATGAGGAGGGGAGAATTTCCTTATCATGAGTTATAAAAAGAATGTTTGCTTCAACCCCATAATTTTAAGAAGCATTGTCAAAATAAATTTCTCATTTTCTCATCAAAAAATGCCTTTAGGTATTCCTCGTACACCTGTTCAAATCAATTTGGATTCCCCTTTTCATATCCCCTACTTTCACTTTTTACTTGCCTTAATAATTATACAACAGAGCGTATACGTGAGAGAGGGAAATGTTTTTTTAAGCGGGGATATGGTAGAGACACGCACACGAAAGATTTCCAAAGATTACTCGTTAACATCACAATAGATTTTTCACCCCTCACTGCACGTAATAGATTTCGTTATTTTTAAGGAAATCTCATGTAACATCGAATAATCTATTTCCATTTTCTTACCATTAAAGTGTACCCAAGCAGTGTAAATGTCAGATTTCCTTGTAATCTATTATCAGGTAATAGATCTTCACATACCCAAATGGAATGTATGAACTATGGATAAATTGGGGAGAAAAAACGAAACAAAGTGTTGGGGCCTTCGCATAAATTAGAAAATAAGCAGTCCTTACTCTAAAGGAAAGAGTTCTATATGAGGCGTATACCTTATACTATATAAGAGAGGCACACCTCAAAAAACTCATTGGAAAAGGTTGTTCTAACTATGGGAAACTCTTACTTGGGCTAACAATGAGTTACTTGGCTTGGCCCAGCTCTAAAAAACTAGGGTCAAGGCCACCAAATGTGGGCTAATGGCCGGGCAACCATGATCTGAGGGCAGGGCTAGACTGGGCCTAGCTATGCGGTGCAATAGGGTCAGCTTGGTTTGGTTCGGCCCAGCCAGTTTTTAACTTTTTATTTATATTTACTTTTGATAGATTCAAGGCCTTTTCGTGTAGGTCAGGGTTGAGTCGAGCTGGCTTGGCCCAGGCCCTACCTTTACCAACCGTAATCTCTAATTGATTATATCGACCTCGAGATGTATGGTTATGAAAAAAATACGATTTTCAGTCTTAAAGGTAATGCATCTTCATCTTCACATTATTTGGACTATCAATTTTCAAGATTTTCAAATGTTCACAAATTTGCTTGATCCGTACTATTTTTGGAGTTATAAATGTCATAATTAGAAAAAACAGATTTTCAGGGTATTGTAAAAGTATCTGACCCTAGAATTGCATCTTTTAATAGGATTTGGAGGTCTTACTTTGATTGTTTAAGTTGGCCATCTTATATAAACTGCAATGTTTTCTAAATATACATTTCATAAGGATTTATGTGTAAATTTTCCTAAACTTTCTTTTTGGACAATTCATTTTAATTATTTTAAGAAAATCAATTTTAAAAGTAAAATTAATCTCTTTTAGGGTACGTTTGGTTCGTGTGAAATTGTTTTCTAGAAAATATTTTCACATGAAAAGAGTTTTTTATGTGGTTAAGTATGGGAATATTTTTATACTAATTAGTCTTAGTGCATCTTTTCACACTAATTGATAGCTAATTCATGTAACAATATTCCGATACTTAACCACGTAAGAGAATTTTTTCATATAATAATGTTTTCCAAAAAATAATTTCACGCGAACCAAACATGCCATTAGTGATTCAAGATTAGGTTAGTAGGATTATTTGGTGTGAAAGTTTAGCTCCCACATCCATCTCCTATAGAATTCTCGAGAACCCCATAGCTTGCGGAACCGGGAATCTCAAACACCGGGATCCCACCCAAGATCTTATACATGATTGGCTGAATGCGAAGTAGATGAATACAACTATAAATCGAATGTGAGAAATAAATCAAACACAAAAAAGGCACACCACAACAATACAAGATTTACGTGGTTCACCTTATAGGGCTGCATCCACGACCTCGGCAACTAGAAATCCACTATTACAATGAAGATTACAGTCTTGGGTTATAAGAGATAATACCTATCTCTAAACATCAGTAAAAGACCATCACCGATCTTCCCTTCTAAACCCGTTCTCCTGATCGAGCAATACTGTCGATCAACATCATCTTTTCCACCACAATACCGTTGCCGAAAAGATAACCTTGAGAGCAACATAGATATTTTCTCTCTCTAGAAATGAAAATTAACCAACCCAAAAGTCATGGGAATACCACCTCTCTCTCGAAGGCCATGTCTCTCTCCGTATTGGAGATACATTCCCATAACCCTAAAGGGGTGACACTTAAAGGATGGGTATTATGTCTTCATTTACTCTCTTATAAAGATATCACTTTCTTGTTTTCTAAGAAAATCAATTTTCTATTTCTCATAAGACCCTAATCTTGCTTCCTAAGACAGTCAAATTTATATTTCTCATAATACCCTAGTCTTTAGAAGAAAATATGGGTATGGTGATTTAGCTATCACCAAACCCAACATCTCCAAGATGGGATTTTGGAAGGGGATGCTTTTAGACAGGGTGCTATAGCACAATATATCGATTTCGGGGCAGCAAAACTGGTCAGATTGAATCCAGAGTTGAACCTAAAAAAATGACCTTGACCAAAATATATAGTATGAGGCTCGAACTTAAACCAAAAAATATAGTGTGGGACCTGGATCCAGATAAAAAAATGTAGTGTGGGACTTAGACACGGGCACGGGCACAGACCCAGTCTAAAAAAGGTCGCGCGGGACCTAGACTCAGGTTAAAAATATAGTACATGGCCCGGACCCAAACACGACTCAAAAATTAAAATATTTATATATTTAAATACATTTAATATATTGTGATCTGAAAATATTACCCAACCCAATCCCGCATCCAAAAACTAGTGTTCAAGTCCAAGATTTGGACCCTAACATGTCCAATTTTTTAATCCGTACTGACACCCGAATCGGGTCTATGCATCGGCTCCCGGGTTGGGTTCGGATCTATTGCCACCCTTTCTCACGACCAAAATAAAAAAAAAAATAAATAATAATAATAATAATAATAATGAAACTTTACGGGATAAAGCCGTTCTCACCTGAGGCGCCAATTCGGCTCACTAGGAAGAGGGAGAGAGCGGAGGTTCTTGGCCGCCATGGGAACTCTTCGCCTCTCCTCCTCTCTCAACCTCTTCGCCTCTCGTTCTAAGAATCCTTTCTTAATTTGCGGCCACTCTCTCTCTGTTTTCCGGCAGAATACTGGTCGTGTTTCCCTCTCCAGTTGCCTCACCTCCATCTCCAGTGGCTTCTCTACTCAGCCACAAAAGCAACAGCAGGTGCAGGAAAATGAAGAGAGGCTCCCAAAACCCAACCAGGAAGGCATTACCCCGCGCTCTCAGGACTTCAACATGTGGTATTTGGATGTAATCTCGCAGGCCGAGCTCGCCGACTATGGCCCTGTGCGCGGTACCATGGTCATACGCCCATATGGATATGCCATCTGGGAAGCCATCCAGGTCTCTCTCTCTTTTTCTCTCTTCATTTTTTGATTGTTCTGGTTTTGAGTGTAAAATTTTTGTGTTCCAGGACTATTTGAATGTAAAGTTTAAGGAAACAGGGCACAGCAACATGTACTTTCCTCAGGCATGGTTTCTGTTCCCATTTTTACTCTTGTTTCTGTTCAATGGGATCCTAGTTTCGGATACTTCGTTTTCAATTGAATGCCGCGAAATTTAGTTTCAGTTCTTTGGACCTTGGAGTTCTTTTTCATCTTCTAAGTGTCATGGAGAAGTGAATTGATATGGCTGTTATAAAGCATCTCCCACCACATTTTTGGGTTGTGCAGACTGAATTCTTTATGTGAAATGTCTTGCTATTTTTATCGAGAACATCGAGCGAGGTTTTTTCTTCCCCTTTGTTAGTGTTGTTTGCAGTGATTCATTATATTGCAGGTAGGAAAAACTTGATGCTCCAAAGGTGTTTGAAACATTGTACCCTTGTGAAAATGTTTTCGTGCATGATTGTTTGTGTGTTTTATGTGCGGGACTATTGAGCTTTTTCAATGTTGCATGTGACTGTGTAAGGACTCTCATCCATATTGATGAAAATTTGAACCCAAAATGTGCAAGAAATCACCTCCACCAGTGTAATATGAACATACACTTTATGTCCGTTTCTCTTCTCAGAAAAAGAAAAATGACAGAATTTTGGGAATATAAAACTTTTTAAAGTTAATATTCTTCATATAGTATGTCTAAAAAAATTTCATGCCTAGATCAAGGGATCATGAATATTACGTTAGTGTAATGGTTATTGAGCTATAAAGAAGCACCTAGGCCAATGCTTATGCCAACTCTACTAGTGATTTTTGTTTTCCCCATACTGTAGTTCTCAGCTTTCTCTTATGTAATTCCAACTTCCCGATGGATCAAGCACATTGATGCACATGGTCAGCAGTGCATGGTCCTACATTTTCAGAAGGATGAACTAAGAATATTATCTCGCATGTGTTTGTTATCTCAATCCATAAGAAAAATGTCTTTCCTACTATAGGCCGACCTGTTTACTCATATAGTCACATTCGTAGGGACAGTGTTGTCTTTATCTTAGATTAGCTTTTTTCTCCCACGTTTGTGCCATATGTATTGTTCCTATATTAATGGAGGCTGGTCTTACTTTTGAATCATTCTCATGGGGAAGTGCTGTCTGCATGGCTGACTTTTGTCTTACCTATTCTTTGCTTTCTTCTTCCCTCTAATGTCTCTATCCAGCATTGCATGTTTTATTGTTCGCATAGGCTCATTCTTGGCATATCATTGTTGGTCATTTATTTATCGTTTACCTCCAATAGATTATATTAGCACAATATAACACTAGAGTTTCAACAGGTTATGGCTTGTTTCCTTGAAGTTGTATTTTCTTTGTCATCTATTTGTGAAGGGTTCTTTTGTTTCATGTTTCAGAATTGTGAATTCCGGAGTAGAATGTCATCAATCTCCTTTTTTTGGTTTATCTTTTCTTTTCTTTTTTCAATTGTAGTTGGAGGATTCTATATGGATTCATCTATACTTCATCAAACAAATGTAGCCACCATGATTCAGCAGAGTATCATGAAAATGACTTTGATGTGTTCTTAATCCTTTATTTATCTAAGCAACATGATCCAGCAAATGTTGTAATATCATTGCCCTTCTCATTCGTAATGCAGAAGATTAATATGTCATATGTGTTTTTAGCAACTTTTCTGTGTAAATAAATAATCGAGCCATTCCATTGTTGGCATAAGTGAAATTTACTTTGGGTTAGTTGTGGATCTAATTGCCCATTGTAGTAGGTTTCTTGTTTGAAAAGTTGCTTTTTTGGTTCATCACGCATGTCTTTTCTTCTACTACTAGTTTGCTGTGAAGATGATCAGTTATACACTTGGCTAGGTACTGGCCAAATAAAAGGGACTTGATGTTGCTGACATAAGGTTCAAAAAACAAAAATTTTCTTACTTTGTGACATACCTCAAGCCATCCAATTTGACATCTAAGGGCTAGGAGAGATTGTGGCCCCCTTGTAACAATGTTAAACGGTCTTATAGTATTCAATCCCCATATATATATATATATATATATATATATATATATAGTAGTATTATATCACCCACCCTACTATATATATATATATATATA